GGCACCCGGACACTAGGTCGCCTCTCCCCCTTAGGGCCCCCCGCCAGCCAGCCTACATGATCACAAGTGTGCACGCGCGAGGGCGGTGTCACCACCTCTCCTCCCACACCCATACGGGATGGATTCCGCTCTCGCACCCCCTGTGCCTGCTGGAAGCCACTCGCAATCTCCACCCTGACCCCTTGGCTCTCCCGATCACACTCACGAGATCAGGAGTCACACGGTGCTCCTCACACACACAGAACAACACGCCTCTCACGCACACATGCTCACCCATTGCTCAAACGCTTCTCACTCCAGCCGCTCACACTCAGTGACCAAAGTCTCTTAGTGACCTTCACGCACTTCAACAAAGAACTCACACGTGCATCATATAAATTCACCCTTCCACAGCTATTCACGCTGGTTTCCAGTCCTCTCACCTACTCCTCACATGTCACATTTCCCCAACGCCATATTCGATGGAACGTATAGATCTCTTATACAGAAATCACCAGCACACCTCTTAGCACCTAAATACACACAAGGACAACAGGTGTGGCCATCTTATTCACAGACACACACACCCACATAGAACATACACATCTTTCTACTGCATGCAAATAGCCCCAGGACAGCGGTTGCGGGTTGCCATACCCTCTCACACGCACACATCCTCCCATCCAGAAGTACCTTGTGTGCACACACAAACACACCCCCAAGGGCAGCAGGGGCCGTTCCCCTCCAGAAATGAGAGCAGTTGGCTGTGGGGGCACAGCCAACACACACGCTTGGGCGGTCTCTGATGGCCCCTGCAGGGCTGGCAAAAGGAGACCAGGAAGCTGGAGGGCATGGTCTTCCTCTTCCCCAAGCACGGCCACCCGATGCCCGCACCAGTTGCCCACTGTATCTACTCATACTCCTCTCTGCAAAGCCACATCTTGTGCCACCTTCACTTTCACCCTTTCCTCTGGGGTTCTGGCAGCCCGTTTTCTAGACCCGGCCAGTCACAAACCATCAATGCTGGGGGCTGTGACCCATGGGTGAGCCTGTGATTTTGAGAAACGGCCAGCACCCAGGGACCCAGAATCCTCTCCCAGCTTCCTTCAAGTTTCCCCGGAGGCTGGAGAAGGTCTGACCAGGGGGGTGGGGTTCTGACCCTGCTGCCAGCAACTTGGGCCAGGGTAGCCAGGAAGAAGGCGGAGAAATCCTGAAGCCAGCCTGACACTGGCCTCCCAGGGTGCAAGGGGTCCTTTGGGGAAGTTTCCCCATGGTTCCTACTCCGACCTCAGAGGGAAGCCATCCGAGGCAGCTAAAGATCCCACTGAGTTTGCTCAAGTCCTTACAGCTGGATCAGAAATCTTCAGCGTCCAATCCCACACCCCAGTGGGGTCTCCTCTCACCAGATCCCACCGCTGTTAGCTCCGTCAACTTTGCGCTTCCTATGAGCTCAGCTTTCCACCACCCTGCCCACAACAGGCCAAACATCAGAGCTCCCTCAGTCCTGCCAAGAACTCCCTCGCCCTTCCCCGTGCCTCCGCAGAGGCGCTGGATGACAGACGGCTAATCTCACTTCTGCCAACCCCCCACCCCAGACAAACAGGCTCTGAGAGGGACAGAGGTCCCTGTGCCCACTCCCAGGCCACCCCTTGTACCTACTGTGTCCGGGGTGCCTCAGCTGGGATCTGTGGCACGTCCCAGGAGCGGTAGCGCCACATCTGCCTCAGTGCTCCCAGCTGCTCCCCCTCTTCTGTCCCCAGCGCCACTGCTGGGCCCAGAGCTGTGGCCTCATCGCAGCTTCCCCCAGCACTGTGGCCAGCCCCCAGTGCGCTCATCCTGCCAGGCGACTCTCTTCCTCTTTCGGCACTTCCTGACCCGGGGGGTGGGGGGGCCCTGCTAAAGGCCGGCTTGAAGACCGTGGGCCGGTAGGCGCCTTCCCGTTGGCTGGGGCAGGAGGTGGCTGGGGAGGGGGCTCAACGGGAGGGCAAGGGGCAGGTGAGGACAGGCCCAGCCAGGCAGCCAGGAGACGGCCCTGAGACAGAGGCGGCCACCGGGCCTGTCTGGGCTGGAATCCACCCCAGGACGGTTTTCATCTCCACTTCACTCTCCAACGACCACCTCTTGGTCCTGCTGAGATCTCTCACTTCATGACATCCAGGTAGCCCGTGTGTGCATCACGCCATCTAACACAGGGCGGGGCACACGGGACAGTGGTGTTGTGGAAGAGTATCAGTGATGGAGCTGAAGACGTGGGCTTGTGTCCTGTTTCTGTCATTTACCAGCTGGGTGGGCTGGATCCGGCCATAAACCCCTCTGAGTCGCTTAAATCACTTTTTGGAATAAAGTAGGATATAAACAGATCAACTAATGAGCCTCAGTTTCTTCATCTGTAAAATGGAATAATAATTGAACTCATGGAGTTACACAAGGATTACATAAGAGGGGAAAGGGTTTATACATGAACTAATTCAATAAATGCTTATTGAGCCGGGCATGGTGGCTCACACCTGTAATCCCCGCACTTTGAGAGGCCGAGGAGGGAGGATTGCTTGAACCCAGGAGTTGGTGGCTGCAGTGAGCCGTGATCCTGCCAACACACTCCAGCCTGGGCAACAGAGTGAGACCCTCACTAAAAAAAAAAAAATGCTTATTGAGTGCCTTCTCAAAGGGTGTAGCAGTGAGTGAGGAAGCAGGGACCTATTCTCACGGAGTGTAGGTTCCAGTGGGAAGACATCCAGGTAACTAATGATCTATGCACACTGTAATGTCAGGTGAGATATGCTATATGGAAAAATGAAGTCAAAAGGACTGGGAAGATAGTGAGATTGGGGCAGGTAGGAGGATTGGGAAGGCCTCCCTGGGGGAGGTGACCCTTGACCTGAATGAATGAGGGGAGCAGGGCTGTGTGATATGGGAGGAGAGCATTCCAGGCAGAAAGAGCAGTAAGCGCAAAGGTCTCAGCAAGGAACATACATGAATGTGGCTGGAAAACAGGGGCCCGGGGGGACTGTTTGGGAGCTGGAACAGTCTCCAGAGGCCAGACTGCACTGGAGTTCAAAGCCATCACGAGGACTTGGTAAATACATGGTAAGGCATAGACTCACTCTTTTTTTTGAGTCGGAGTCTCACTCTGTCGCCCAGACTGGAGTGCAGTGGCCGCTCCCGGCCACCGCAGCCTCGACCTGCTGGGCTCCAGGGATCCTTCCGCCTCAGCCTTCCAAGCAGCCGGAACTACAGGCGCGCGCTACCACGCCTGGTTAATTTTTGATTTATTGTAGAGACGAGGTCTCGTCAAGTTGCCCAGGCGGGTCTCGAACCCGCGGGCTCAGGCAATCCACTCACCTCAGCCTCCCACAGGCATGGGATTAGAGGCTGAACCACCGAACCCGGCTGTACCATCCTTAAGTGTTCTTTTTTATTACACTTTTAATTTTTAAAAAATTTTTTGGTAGAGATGAGGTCTCACTACGTTGCCTAGGCTGGCCCTGGCCACCCAAAGTGCTGGGATTACAGGCATGAGCCACCACGCCCAGCCCATCCTCAAGCATTCTTTAATAACACTGCTTTATAATTAGTTTTTTAGTTGTATATGTGTGGGTTACCCCTGAAAGGTTGTGAATTTCTCGAGTACAGAAACGGTGTCAGTTCAGTTCATTAAACATTTACGCTACACAACCTGGCGCACATGATGCCATCCCGACCCATAGAAGCTTCCATCTGGTGCTGCAATCACCTTTGTGTCCTTCATGACTAGAACTCAATATTTTTCAATAAATATTTGTTTAATACGTGCATGCTAGGTAATGAATAATTAATACTCAGTAATACTAAGACAACGGCGAATATTTCTCGGCCGCTTCTGTGCTGCCAGAAACCTTACTGAATATATAAAGTAGCTCATTGAATACTCATCATGACCCACCAGATAACAGTTTGTTATTTTCCTCCTTTTACATATGGGGAAACCGAGGCACGGAGCTGTTAAGCTTACTAGTCCAAGGTTACACAGCTGATAAGTGGCAGAAATAAGACTCTAGCCCCAGGGTCTGTGCTTTTAAATAAGACATCCTGTAGCCCCTCTAAGCTTGGGGACATGGCCAGGTAATGCCGTGAGGCTCAGCACCCCCTTTCCCAACAGCTCTGCCCGACCCCCCATCTCTGAATCCCTCAAGGAGGGTCCTGCGTGCTGTGGCCCATCAGAGATCCCCCGCCTGGAAGGAGGCTGTGGTGGGGTCCTGCCACCCTCTCTCAGGCCTTCTGCAAGGAGCTCCAGCAGTTAAACAGAGGAAACGGGGCTGGGCTTGTTTTCCATCCGAGGCGTCTGGCAGCCTTGGAGCAGCGGAGCACAGGAAACGGGACTTCTGGAGGGGAAGCGGGCAGGCCAGAGGCTCCAAGAGGCAGAACAGGCCTGACTATGTGACTAAGGCCACCTCGAGCTTGGACTCCCCGGAGCTGTCAGTGCCAGTTCTGCTTTCCAGGTGGGCCAAGGAGGACAAGTCTGGAAGGGACAGGTGCCCAGGGCTGGGGAGGATGCCCTTGGCAGTTCTTAGGACACTGTGTGTGAGCACTGGGGAGCTGGGGACCCCTTGGAATCCACCCAGGTACACGCAGGAAGAGGAATCTGGGTAAGGAAATTATTCTGGGCTTAGCTGAGGCCCCAGAGGCTGAGGTGTTCTACTTTCTGTGGCCTGGATGAGCAAGTGGAAGCTGGGGAAAAGAAATGTACCAGGACACCAAAGAGCCCACGACCTGGACGTCCACTGCCCTCAAAACCTGCCAAGCCAGCCTCCTTGGCCTGACCTGTAAGGCTCCTTATGTTCTCGCTCTTCTGACTTTTTTTGCCTCACTGCCCAGACTTTCTCTGCAGAATTCTTCTCTCAGCTTATGCCACGCTGGTGCCCGCCTCATAGTAGGTGCTCAACAAAACTTTCTTCCTTCCTTTTTTTCCACACTTCCTTCACATGCCGCCCTGACCCCTGCCATCGCATTTGCCTAAGCTGCCCCCTTTGCCTGCCTTCTCTGAATATTTGGCCAATCAAAATTGCCATCCTTGGGCTGGGCCCGGTGGCTCACACCTGTTGAGGCAGGAAGATCGCTTGAAGCCAGGAGTTTGAGGCCAACCTGGGCAACACAGCAAGACTCTCATCTCTATTTATAAAAAATAAGAATACATTTTTAAAGACTTCCATCCTTCAAACCTCAGCCTAAGCCCAAGTACAAAGAGCACCAGAAAGAGTTCATTGGTGCACACTCCAACCCTTGTGTGACTCTGGGCTAGTCATTACCCTTTCCTGGTCAGACCAGATTTCTAAGATCTTCTCTTGTTCTGACAGCTTTATTGGAATCTTCTTCCCTGATCTCCAAGTTTTCACTCACCCATCCATTCATTCATTCATATGACAAATGTTTTATAAATACTGCTAAGCAAATCCTTTTCCTGAGTCAGCATTCCCATTGACTTATCTCTGCCATTGGTTTTTGTTCCCAATTATGTCATTGGAACCTCTGTGCACGTTAGTCTTGTCTCCTTACAGAAATTTTGTTGTGTTTTTTGAGATGGGGTTTCACTCTGTGGCCCAAGTTGGAGTACAGCGGCATGATTCCGGCTCACTGCAGCCTCCACCTCCTGGATTCAAGTGACCCTCCCGCCTCAGTCTTCCAAGTAGCTGGGACTACAGGCATATGCTATCATGCCCAGCTAATTTTTTCATTTTTTGTAGAGATGAGGTCTCGCTATGTTGCCCAGGCTGGTCTTGAACTCCTGGGCTCCAGCAATCCTCTTGCCTCTCTGCTTTTCAGAGTGCTAAGATTACAGGTGTGAGTCATCATTCCCTGGGTGGCCCATTACAAGATTCTTTTTTTTTTTTTTTTTGAGTCAGAGTCTCACTCTGTCACCCAGGTTGGAGAATAGTGGTAGAAGATTCTTAAACCCTATGTTGCTCTTTGCTCAGTGCCGGGTACACGAATCTGTGCCCAGTGACTTCCTGTGGAAGGTGAAGTTTGAATGCAGGTGTTCAAAAAGCTGAGGAAAGGGAGGGAAACGGGCTTCTTGTTGGCATGAGTGACTGGAGTAGACAGAGGATTTTTTAAAGCCCAAGTCCCTCCCCAGCAGTTATGTCTGTGATCCAGGCACCTGTCACAGCTCTTGGGAGCAACCCAGAGCCAGAACCCTGCTGATCACGGGCCTTGCCCAGCCTCTGCCCCCACTGAGGAGACAGGTGTATCTGAGCTGGGCTGCAGGTGCTGCTGGCTAGTGACAGATGGAAACTTGATTAGGCTTCTTCTGGGCAGCTTCATGACAGCCATGAGCAGGAGGAAATCTGAAGAGGGGCTGGAGACCCTCTCCCACTGGGCAAGAGAGCCACAGGACGTCAAATCACCATCTATCTCTCTTGGAAGCCATCCTTTGGCACCCCAAGTCCCCAGGCTGGATTGACAAAGGAGCCTACATGGCTCCCTCTGTCCTCTGGGTCAGCTAGCAGAATCTGCTCTAAGGGGCTTCCTTCTGCCTCATCCCGGGCTACGCTAAGCCCCCAGGGCAGGGCCAGTAGGCCTCCCATCCTCCAAGCCTCTCATCCCCATCTGTAGGGTCACAAGCACATGCCCCCTTGACACCTGCCTTATGACCTCACTCAGGGATAGGCGCATTTTGTACAGAACCAAAAGAAAAGATCTCTGAGGTAAAAGTCTAAGCCCTTGCAAGCTAGTCAGAGTGAAACAGATCTGAGCCTGGATTCAGGTTCTATCAGCCAGAGTGAAACAGATCTGAGCCTGGATTCAGGTTCTATCAGCTGGCTCTATGATCCTAGCTACTCACAGAACCTCTCTGAGCCTTAGTTTTCAGCTGTAAGCGGTTGTCCTGTGGTCCTCAAAGCCTGTTCTACGTATGTAACCTTCCTTCCTCAAGCATCTGTGGGCCAAGGGCCCTGGCTAAGCACAG